ACAGTATCATCAACGAGGAAGATCTGTTGAAAATTCTAGAGATGCCAATACTTGTTGTTCTGGATGAGGCTTACATCGAATTCTCAGGACTTGAATCAAAGATGAAATGGGTGAAGAAGTATGAAAACCTAATCGTGCTCCGCACATTTAGCAAACGAGCTGGTAAAAATTCGTCTTTATTATAATCTTAAACAAGACATGTATAGAAACCATGCATCTAAGAAATCTTCTTCTGGCATTTCAGGTCTGGCCGGGCTTCGAGTTGGATATGGAGCGTTTCCTCTGAGTATAATCGAGTACATATGGAGAGCGAAACAGCCATATAATGTCTCTGTTGCAGGAGAAGTAGCTGCTTTAGCAGCACTTTCAAACGGTAAATACTTAGAAGATGTGAGAGATGCGTTGGTACGAGAAAGAGAAAGACTTTTCGGGCTTTTAAAAGAAGTCCCTTTCTTGAATCCGTATCCGAGCCAGTCGAATTTCATTCTCTGTGAAGTTACATCTGGAATGGATGCAAAGAATCTGAAAGAAGAATTGGCTAAAATGGGTGTGATGATTCGTCATTACAACAGTAAAGAGCTTAAAGGTTATGTTCGAGTTTCTGCTGGAAAGCCTGAACACACTGATGTTCTCATGAGTTGTCTTAAGCGGTTCTATTGACTTCCCATTTGTTTGGAATTTTTTAAAACAAACAAAAACAAAAAACTGAGTTTTTCTCTTCTGTTTTTGTTTGTTTTCACTTGTTGGATCCAATGTTTCAGTTAATTGGATATTTGCAATAAGGCAAACCTTTCTTTGTACTGTATTTGACAGTTTAATAAAACTTGTTGATGGATTATGAAATTTGTCAAGGTTGCTTCATCAGATTCGCATTCGGTTTTCGTGTTTCTTGTTGTTGAATGATTTGAGAACTGTTTTGTTATCGAGTAGAAAGGAAGAGAAGAATCAAAGATAAAAAGAACCAAGATTTGCGTAGCGGTTTTAGGTCTTTCGATAACCTTGAAAAGCAAGCTTGCAATGGAATTGGAGTTCATAGATCCTCATACACGTAAGGTTGCAATGCCTGACACACGAATCTCTTACATTTTGCTACAATCGCCTCACATGGATAAGAAGTCGATAGAAGATGAGATTCGAGAAAGGGTTTCTTGTCGTCAAAGCTCAGAGCCATGAGTTGAGAAACAAGTTGTTTTGGTTGAAACGCTCAATATGAAATCCAATTCCACTGTAAGACCCGTTTCAACATGGCTTCCACCAATGATCAATAAGACAGGCTAAAGATATCATTCTGACAAGTCAAAGGAAGCTACGAGGTGGGTTTTTTTTACCCGACCCTACAATAATGTGGAACCTACGAATCCAAGAAGTAAGCTACACCAGCCTTGTAGCCATTTCTTGGTTAATAAACTGTAAACATGTATTTTTTTAACCATTTTCAATGACATGGTTTCAGTGGCAAAATACTTAAAAGAGAGGAACAATCTTTCGTTAGATTCTTTGAGTTTTGCGTAGCGATTCTACACAGCTAGACATATAGGATCTATAATCTCTATACAATGTTTGGTGCGTAAAAAGGCCCTCGAGTCACATGTTACATGTATTATATGCTATCAATGCATGTTTCATATGGCAATTTCTTATACACATTGGAAGAGAGGGTAAGCTCTTGATTCTTACTTGAGAACATGTAAGATAGATATTGCATTGGCACAAGGCTGATGCTTAACTAGAAATGAGAAAGGTGAAGTGAAGACAATGCTTGGTTCCTATATAATCCAATATTATTAAGTTTATTATCTTGGTTCAACTTTCAACTTTTTATTTACTCATACATAACAATTATGTTGGAAATAAATTGAAGGGTAACATATTTTTTTTTTTTGGTGAACATATATGTGATTGAAGGGTAACATATATGATACACTTGTTTATAATTAGTGGACTAACCTTGTTTTTTGTTTTTTAACTATTAGCAACAGAAAAAAACTAAAAAAAATACTTTGAGCATCCTTCAATCACATATCTTCAATATCTCAAATTTTGCTGCAATAATTATAAATTGGTCTAAAGAAATAAGTAAAACTGATTTCTTTTTGCTCTCACAATAATTCACTAAGCTGATAAAAAAATAATTTTAATTCTGTTACATGTTATTTTTGTATACTTTCAGAAGTTAATCATGCGTAGTGCAATTTTGTATTTGATTAAGAAAAATTTTAGTATTGTTGTCTATCGGATTGAATCCACTTGTAATACACTAATACGGATTAAGTACCTAACTCTTCTCTAAAAAAAAGGGGAAATAATTATAAAAATGTTGTCTTTTTTTTTCTTATAAAGGTAACTATAGTTAGAAAAATGTTGTCATCTTTCGTCCATTCAAATTTGTTCCATACATATAAGAGAATAGGTAATGCCTTAAACTTGTTATAATGTAAAACAAATAAAACAAAATTTTGTCCCTTGTCCAAAAAAAGCCATCAACTCATTATTTTTTTCTTATAATATGAAAAAGCTAATGAAATTTATTTTTAAAAAAAGTTTGTAATTTTAAATAATTAAGCTGTAAAGGAACCTAAAAGAAAGACAAAAATAAAAATGTAAGAAAAGATGAATAAGTACGAGAGAAGCAATAGGATCAAAGAGACAACTTGGAGGGTGTGGGCCGACATGCCATCATCAGCCTCTCTGTTCCATTCTTACCTCTAGAAGTTTTTGCTTCTCTCATCATTACATTTATTTAGTTTACTCATCTTATACATTAATCTGTTTTTAAAAATCGGTTTCTGGATAATTGGTGGATAACTGGTGAATTTCACTTATCAATTTATTGGAAAGGCTTCCAACTAGTGGATTGTTCGTGTTCTATATATAATATGTGATATTATTCTCAATACGTATATTCAAGATGATTGTTTTAAAAAAAAAAAATTATTTTATTTTATTATAATCTTATTAAGAATATTTTCGGGTTTGAAATGACAAAAATTAGTTTTGTTAGAATGTCTCACATTGAAAATTAAGATAATTTTATTTATTTATTGTTAATTGATTTTCAAATTGGGAGTGCATATAATATATATAGTAGCAAAGCTATATCATACCCTTTCTAATCCAACCCAAAATTGGTTCCATCAAAACCGATCAAATCCAAAATTGGTCTTACCAGGTACGTATAACTATAATTATGTTTTAAGAATCAATTTTTATTTTATTATAAATTACTAATTTTTATTGTATCTCATTATGTCTACTTTTAATGTTTATACCAAAGTAAAATGAATTGAAATGAATAATGTTAATTTATTCTTTGTAATTTATACATATACCATTTATAATTTTACCAAATTAAAAATTCTTCAAATCAATAGGTGCGACTAAACAATTAAAAACATACTCAAACAAATATTTTTTTCTTTTTTACAAATTAAAATAAACTAAACCCTAAGAGTAAGATACTTAACCCTAAGAAAACCTTAACCCTAACAAACTAAAGAAAACTATGGTTCAATTTAGTTCAGTTAGAAATATTGATCGTATATGTAGTGTTCAGTTAGTTTTGGCGGATGGTTACATGCTCACGTCGCACT